TAACTGATGCCACATCCAGGACCTAACAGTAAGTTATGTCAACTCTACCAGCACCAATTTAATTTATTTCTAGAAGCCACTTGCTTCTCTCCATCCGCAAAGTCTAAGTCACTTTGCTTTTGTTCTTCACCTCTATCTTCCATTCTCCACAGAGTAATAACTATATGCCCTGTTAAAGGCATTAATCAGATTACGTCACTCTTTTATTCAAAGCCTGCTAACATCCTCACGGGGGCTTAAAACATCTTACAAAGTCTGGCACCTGCTCACCTCTTTGCGCTACAACCACAGCAGTCATCTTCCTATTTAACCAATATGTCCAATTCCTTTGCTCCTCAGAGCCTCTGCACTGGCCTGGGGATGCTCTTCCTCTAGATCCTTACATGGCTGGCACTTTCACATAATTCAGGAATCAGTTTAAAGTCAACTCATCAGAGAGAAATTTTTTTGACTATACAGACTCTTCACCTGTGTAGTCAGACAAGTTTTATTGTCTTTGGATTATGAGGCACAATATGGGAGCTTATTCTTTATTTGCTCATTTATACATCTACACTGGCATCCCTTCCAGACTGGAGTGTCAGCTTCATGAAAACGGAGAACCTGATTGTCTTTGTTCTCTGCTGTATCCCAAGCAAGCACAGTGCCTGGCACAATGTAAGAGGTCAATATACATCTACTGAATGAATAGATAACTGAGGAATAAATGGATGGAGATATACGTGAACTATTCAGAGAAAAAAAAAATCTCATCTAAAAGAAAATATGTGTTAACTGTCACTTACAAAAGAGTTTCCCAGAATTTCAAAATTAAACTCCAAATAGCATCTTTTATTTAACCACGATCAATTCAACGTAAGACTAAAAATCAGAATAATAGAGAGCAGTTAATGTTCATCAAGCACCGAGTATAACTCAGAAATTAAATTAACAGTTTGTTAGTATAAATCTCCCTCGTTCTTTTTATGAGTACTAAATTAAAGTTCATCCTATATTTTTAAATCTCTTATAAGCAAGGGGCAATGAAATAATGAAAGTATAATGAAGTAATTTTACTAATTCTCAATCCATAATCATAGCAATGATTTTGTAAGTTTCCGAATATGGTTCAGCAGTGTGGACCAGCCTGGTATGAAAATAAATTTAAGTCTGTTTTCCTTTTACAATTTCTGCTACTGTGAAAGAAAATAATTAAGGTATTTAATATTTGCAGGCAGGATCAGAGGCGAGAATATGAGCATGCCATCACTTACAAAACCTGAAACATAACGCAAGTGTAATGTTGCTTTTTTTGGACCATGTGATATATCTGAATGCAAAGAGAAGCCAGAAATATGTTAGCAGTGCTTGGGAGAAACAGTGGATGGTAGCATGTACAGTCAAGCAAAGTCAGAGGTTGTGACGAGCCATGCTGAATTAGCACACACAGTTCCTCTTTCTCTGCCTCTCGCCCACCTTCAAACCTGCAGTTCTTACCACTCCAGTGATATCCCCAAAACTTGCAGTGTTCTAAAGTTTATAGAGTCTTGGGGTACCTGTGTCCTTATTTACACCACAGCTGAGTCTAAAAGAACTTTCTGCAATGATAGAAATGATCTAATTTTGCACTGTCTATTGCTTCTGTATCAGAGGAACTGAATTTTGCAAAGTATTTAATTTGAATTAACTTAAATTTAGCCACAGGCTGCCAAATTGCACAGCACAACTCTAGACACCCTTCCTGTGGTCTGCAAACTCCTGCTCATCCTTCAAGACCCAATTCAAATGTCTCTTCCTCCAGAATCTCCTTCCTCTTCTTGTTTCCTAAATAGCAGCTTTCATGGCTTGAATGGTAACCATTTATCACATTCTATTATAATTCTTTTATGGTATGGTGGTCATCCTGACTAGATCAAGAATCTTTCAAGGGGAGAGAATCTGCCTGGCTCATCTCTAAATATTCAGTTCTATGCTTGGCACATGAGAGTTATTTGATAAATGCTTGTTGGATGCTCAAGTGAAGTAATGAAGCCATCTGTAGATATGAACAAATATAAGCACGGCTTCCCAGGAAAGTTCTTCCCCGAGGAAGCTTTTACTCCCTTTATATAAGAAATTGCAAACCAGATACTGCTTGAGCATCCCTAATCTGAAATCCGAAATGCTCCAAAATCTGAAACTTTTTGAGCACCAACATGACAATACAACTGGAAAATTCCACCTGTGCTGTTATGACAGGCACAGTAAAAATGCAGTCAAAACTTTGTTTCATGGACAAAGTTATTTAAAATGCTATATATGATTATCTTCAGGCTATCTGTATAAGGTACATATAAGACATAAACAAATTTTGTGTTTAGACTTGGGTCCCATTCCCAAGATGTCTCACTATGTACGTGCAAATATTCCTCAATCCAAAAAAATTTGATAACTGAAACACTTCTGGCCCAAGCATTTCAGATAAGGGATAGTCAATCTGCATGACCCTCAGATTTGATAGTATTTCATCATATTTGTGTATATGTGTGTGTGTGTGTGTGTGTGTGTGTGTGTGTGTAATTGATAGAAATTGCTTACCAATGTTAAAAACAGATTTCCAACATTTTTTGAAACAAATATTAGATCTGGCAATTTTAGTCCTATATTTGGGCTTGGCAACAATGAACCAGAATGGAACAGGCAGCTGCATCATTTAGATAATAAATATCCTCTACAGAGTTTTTTTTTTTTTTTTTTTTTTTAACATTTAGTCCACTGTTGTCACTTATGATCTCTGTCTTTCTCCCGTAGCCATTTGATCTTACAACACCAGACAATAAATGAAGAGACAGAAATTTCAAGTTCAGACACTGATTTCTTACCTACATTAGTAAAATAACAATGGTAACAATACAAGCTGCAACAAAACAGTAACAATGGCTGCTTGTATTTATTGAACGTGACATGCCAGGTATTATACTAGGCAATTAATAAACATTGTCAGATAGAATCATCCTCCATGACCTAGAAAATAGTCTTAGCTTCATTTTATCAACGAAGATACTGAGATTCTAATGGGTAAGCTGAAAATAAACAGGAAGGTCTTCCCCTAGTCTGCCCATCATCAGAGTCCTCATTGCCATTTCTTCTACAAGGTGAATCCCTCCTCACCCCTCCATGCTCCTCCCAGCCTGGATTGAGATCCACAGCAAAAGATAAAGTGGGACTTTGGGCAAGTGACATAACCTTTCCGCATTTTGCTCCTCCACTCATAATAGACTTCAGAAATAAGAGCTGACATTACCTCCAGGGGCACATGTAGGCACATGAAATGATGTAGGTGAAGCACTGAACTTCTTAGACACTTTCACAAATGGAAAATGATCTCGTCTGAGCAGGCAGAGGAAGGCTGACACATCGGGAGTAGGGAGGCACGGAAAGGGCTGAACTCTCTAAAGGAAATAATGGCCTTGTGGCTTTTGCTAGCATCCACCCTCAAGAAACCCTCATCTAGGGAGAGAATGTCTTTGTGGAACTAATACAAATTTGGCTTCCTGAAGCTCGCCTACGTTCCTGCCCATTCGGTGCTACTGAAAAGATGCAAGTCAATGGAAGGTTTAAGAATCAGCTGTTGTAGGCCTAGCACTCTGCCAGGCCAGGAGCTGGCAAACCTTTTTCTATAAATGTCCAGACACTAAATATTTTAGGTTTTGCAGGCCATAGGTAAACAAATGAGCATGGCCGTGTTCCAGCAAAACTTTATTTACAAAACAGGGCTAGGACCCACAGGTATAGTTAGCCTACAACCCCTGTGCTGGACACCGTGGAGGCCGAGCAGAGGCTCTTCACAGTCATCCGGCACCATCATGAGGGGCAATGCATGATGCTTCCTGTTGGATTCCTCACTCCAGTAGCCACAGTCCTCTGAGATAAAGGCCTGAACAGCAAGAATGATGTAAGTCACAGACTTTCTTGGTGGCTCCAGCCCCAGACTCGCCCCGCATGGCAGGAGGAGAGTGAGCCTCTTTTTCCCATGAATAGTTCCTCCCAGCAGCTTTGCAGGCCTGTCTGCAGAGCAGGTGAGGCTACGTGGCCTTTGACCACATGATGTATTGGCTCCTGACTAAATCAAAGTCCACAGATGACAGGCCTACAATATCTAAACAAAGATGCTTAAATTGATATGGAAAAAACTCAATATTTTTGCTTCTCTTGTGTCCACTTTGACTCCCCTAGGTGCCACCCCTGGTGCCACATCACACTGGATAATCCACTTGCACTCGAATCATCCATGTCTCATTACCATATGTGTATACCAAGATGGTATATGTGTATACCAAGACTCCTGTTGTAGGTCACACTGTTTTACTGTTTTTTTGTTTTTTGGTTTTTTGAGACAAGAGTATCACTCTGTCACCCAGGCTGGAATGCAGTGGCACAATCTCAGTTCACTGCAACCTCTGCCTCCCACGTTCAAGCAATTCTCCTACCTCAGCCTACTGAGTAGCTGGGATTACAGGTGCCTGCCACCATGCTTGGCTAATTTTTGTATTTTTAGTAGACACAGGGTTTCACTATGCTGGCCAAGCTAGTCTTGAACTTCTGACCTGAAATGATCCACCTGCCTCAGCCTCCCAAAGTGCTGGGATTACAGGTGTGAGCCACTGTGCTCAGCCAGGCCACATTGTTTAAAGTCTATGCAGTCCTTCTTTGATATGATAAACTTGGAGTTGGTTACATTTCTTCCAAGTGTATGACCAAGAAGATGCAAAGAAGCACAAGTTTTCTTACTGCTTTGTCTGTTAATGTAACCTCCCATTGTCCTTACGCTTTTGTTTCTGTTCTCATTTAATCCTGTTTTCCTTCACAGGATTAAGTCCGCTCATTTCTAAACTGTTATTTGAACTTTAATATTCTAACATGTCTTAGTGTCATGTTTACGCTTTGACTTTCTGAGTGAAATAGTAAAGTATATGAGAGTGGAAAAGGTATTTGGAAAGATTCTGGGTTTTAAAGTTTCAACTTTAGTTGATCCTTCCTACCTGTGGGACCTTGGGCAAATGAGTGAATGATTTGAACTTGAATTGCTTCAACTGCAAGACAAAGGTAAGTATGGCAATCTCAGAGAGGTAATGTAAGAATTACATGAGTTAAATACGGAAGACTCCTCTTCCAAATCAATAATAAAAATACAAATAATCCAACTTATATGGGTGCAGGATCCAAAGAGATATTTCTCCAAACACGTTACACAAATGACCAAGGGGCATGTGGAAAGATGCTCAATATTAGCTATCAGGGATGCCTCACCCAATCAAAAGCACAGTGACATACCACTTCATACTTATTGGGATGATGATAATAAAAAGTTACAAAATAACAAGTTTTGGTGAAGATATGAAGAAAGCTAGAATCTTCTTAAACTATTGGTAAGAATGTAAAATGGTAAAACTGCTTTGAAAATAGTCTGGGAGTATCTTTAAAAATTAAACAAAGAGTTATCATATCTACTCTTAGTTATATACCCAAGAGAAATGAAAACATATATGCACCCAAACACAAGGCTATATTAATAGTAGCATTCACAGAAGGATTATTGATAAAAATCAAAAGTGGAAACAACTCAATTGTCTATCAAATGATGAACAGATAAACAAAATATGGCCTAGCCATATAACAGAATGTTATTTAGCAATAAAAAGAAGTTTTTGAAAAGCAAAGAAAACAACTACATAGTGAAGAGACAATTTACAGAATGGGAGAGCATATTTACAAACTCCGATAAGGGGTTAATATCCAAAATATATAAGGAACACATTCAACTCAATAGTATCCTCTTCTACAAAATAACCCAATTAAAAATTGAGCAAAGGACCTGCATAGATATTTTTTAAAAGGAGACATACAAATGGCTAATAGGTTTATAAAAAATGTTAAATATCCCTAATCTTCAGGGAAATGGAAATGAAAACTGCAATGAGGTATCACCTACCTCACACGTGTTAGAATGGCCATTATCCAAAAGTCAAAAGATAACAAGTACCACTGATAAGGTACTTGAAAGGGGAACCCTTGTTGGCAGAAATGTAAACTTGTACAGCCATCATGGAAAAGAGTACAGAGGTTCCTCAAAAATTAAAAATAGAATTACCATAGGATCTAGTAATCCCACTCCTGCAGACAAAGTCAAAGGAACTGAAATCTTCATCCAAAAGAGATATCTGCATTTCTACATTCATTGTAGCATTATTCAAAACCACCAGGATGTGGAATCAACTTGTTTCCACTAACAGATAAACACAAAAACGCAATGTCTATATCAATAATGGATTATTATTTACTCTTAAAAAAGAAGGAAAGAAAATCCTGCCATTTGCAAAAATGTGAATAACCTGGAAGACATTATGACAAGTGCAATAAGCCAGACACAGAAAGAAAATTACTGCCTGATCTTACTTAGATGTGTAACCTAAAATATTCAGACTGTTAGAAACAGAGCACAGAATAATAGTTACCAAGGGCCAGGTGTGGGGAAAATGGGAATAATTTGGTCATGGCTACAAACTTTCAGTTCTAAGATAAGTAAGTTCTGGCACTCTAATATATGGCACGGTGACTAAGGCTAATAATAATCTATTGTATACTAGAAATATGCTAGACAGTTGATCTTTACTGCTCTCACCATGCACACACACAAAAGATAACTACGTAAGGTAAAGGATATGTTAATTAGCTTGACTGTTGTAATCATATCATAATGTATATGTGTATTAAATCATCACACAGTGTATCTTAAATATATATAATTTTTGTCAATTATACCTTAATCAAGCTGTAAAAAAAGAAATGAAGTGCTGATACATGCCAAAAGATGGATGACCCTTGAAAATTTTATGTTAAATGGAAAAGATAGTGGCAAACACCACCACATAATGTATGATGCCATTTATATGAAATGTCCATAACAGGCAAATACATAGGGACAGAAAGTAGATTAATAGTTTCCAGGGTTGTGGAAGGGGAGGGATGGGAAGTGAAAACCAAAGGGCACAGGGTTTTTGTGGGGGTGATGAAAATATTCTGGAATTAGATAGTAGTGACAGTTACACAACTCTTTGAATAGACATGAAACCACTGAATTGTACATTTTAAATGGGTGAACTGTATGGTATTTTAACTGTGTCTAAATAAAGCTGGAAAGTTCTTAGCCAAGTGCCTGAGACAAAGGAAGAAATAAAAATGGTCACTACTGTTATCATTCAGTCACTTGCATATTAAAAATATAGTCAGTTATTCTAGAGACTTTCACCTCCATTATTCTGAGAATTAAAATACTCAAACATATGTATGGTGAGGTCTAGAAGAGGAGGATTATTGTAGCCTGGAGTAGTTAGAAAGCCCTTGAGAAGTGCGAACAGAGTAAAGGAGGAGGCAAAGAAGAAATCACTAAAGGCAGCAATCTGAAAGTGCAAAGGTGGGAATAATTTGGTTCCCTGTGGGAGCCGTATGGAGGCAATTCGATTAAGCAAATGTTTCATGAATGCAAAGGATAAGCTGAAAAGAAGGCAAAGTTAGATTTCCAAGGGTCTTGGAAGCACAGGCCAAGAAGTTTGGAATTCTTCCAGCTTTGGAATGTCAGGAACTGAATTTAAGGAAAACTATCCTGCCAGCTCATATGGTACTGGGTGAAATCAGAACCCAGGAAGTATGGCTTAATAAAGGTCTGAAGAAAGATAATAAGAATGGAAATAAGAATGCAATGCCACAAAACAGTGACTACTTCTTTTTTTTCCCCCAAAGCCAGTTGTTCTAAAGTGGCTATTTCTTTAAGATAAAGGTGACAAAATACAGAAGGAAAAATCTCCCTCTGTCCTTCATCAACACCTAACAAAAGCAACAGTAATAACCATAAAATAATGGTAAAAAAAAAAAAAAAAAAAAAAAAGGAAAATTTACCGGTAAGCTCTAAATAAGGAACTAAGCACAAACTCAGGCCATAAAATTCAAATGAGGCAACTATTAAAAAAAAAATAATAGGAAGGCAGGAAGGAGAAGAGGGAAGGGGGAAAATGCAAATAAGAGATGATTTTGATGCAATTTGAAGTTGCATCAAAATCTTCCACCACAACTGTCAGAAACAGATTGGAGACAGTATTTGAGTTGACAAAATTATGGAATTTCTCTTCAATTTTCCCCACAATCAAGAGACAAGTAGACTCAAGTCATGATTTTAATGTTGAATTTTTCTTATTGGTCACTTTATAAGCTGGGAACCCCCAGCCAGTGATGCCCTGCTTGGGCCTTGCTTGGCCATGCTGGCGTGCCCCGGCTTGCTGTGTTATAGCTTATACCTGCATTTGGTGGTTCCCTGAGCTCTTGTCCCATGCCCAGGAAGAATGAAGATATGCTGGACATTGAAGGGTGATGAGGGCAGAGAAGAATTTTATTGAGTGATGAAGTTTTCAGCAGAGAGGGGATGTGGGGTTGGTCCCCCTACCTGATGGTGAGAAAGTTTCCCTGTGTGGCTGGGCCTGGGGGCTTTTATGGACTTAGAGTGAGGAGTGCCTGCTGATTGGTTTGTGAGTCTGCAAAAATAGTTAAAGCAAAGACACACCACTCAAAGGTGGGCACAACGGCATACAAAATCAATTAAGAAAGCGCAGGTATATGTAAAATAGGTGAAGGGTATGGAACAGAGGAAAGCACACCAAACAGCAAGTCAAATTCTCAGCCCAGTCTGAGGATTTAACTTGCAGCTTGGCTTTCAGGCTTTAAATTGTCTTCCACTTGAGGTGGGGTTTCACTGAGTACCCCACCTCCATCCGCTTAGGCACTTGGCTGCCTTCTGTTGCTATCAATTTGGAAAACTTGGTGAAGCCCCAGAAAACCTTGGAGAGTGCAATCCCAGGACTTCAGCACAGCCAAGAATAGCAATAATTATGACAGGGGCTTGACAGGAAAAAAGTTGATAGAACCTAGTAAATGATAGTATACAGAGGATGAACTTTAAGAACAAACTGGAGATGACTAAAGGTTTCTAACCTGGAATTTTCAAAATGGGGGTGACACCAGTAAGCGCAGGGGTCAGAAAAGGGGAATATTTTATGGGAGAAGGGCATATGCTCTGTTACCAGATAAATTAAGTTTGAGCAACTCATCCCTTGAATTTGTATGTCTGCATAAACTTAACCTAGTGCCTTACAAGTAGTAAGCCTTTTATAAGTGTGTACAGGAGGGATGAGGCATGTACAATTTTAATTAAATATGAACAAATGATGGTAACATTAAACTCAGATTTTTAAAAATGGTTTTGTTTCAATCACTATGGAGTCAATGGACTGTATGAGTCTTAAAAATTTTTTAATTTTAAACTCTGTCTTAGATATTATAAAGCCACAGTTTAAGTCATCTTACACTTAAAAAACAATCAAGAAAAGCCTATTACAGAATAGAAAACCCGAATCTATAACTTCCTCCTGTGATAGAAAGAACAAAGAACAAAAACTTCAACTTTCACAGCTTAAAGACATTTAGCACCTCAAAAAGGTGTATCAAAATAAGTTTTAAAATAATAATTTTCTGTACTTTATGATATTATATAATAAGCCATTGGAAATCAAGTCAATTTACAAAAAAAATAAAAAACCAGAAATGCAGATAACAGTGCTTTGTAAAACTGTATGGCCCATTTTCTGGAAGCTACTGTGTGATTCTGGAACTAGACTTTTCATTAAAAAGGTAAGAGATTCAGGCATCAGCCATGTTCAATTACTGGCTCCCTGATGAAGTTCACTATCCTGTCTAATGGATCTTTCCTTTTCAAAGGCCCCTTTCTCCTTGTGTATTCTGACATTGAGTGTCTCTGGTATTTGCTCTATGAGAATAACTGGACAGTACAATGCTCTTGAATGCAGCGAGTTGGAGCTTGAATGGGCACCATGAGACCCAAGTACATGAAAACAATTTGTGTGTGTGTTTATAAAACTTCTTGCACAAAATCAGTCTTTGTAATTTCCTAGACTTCAAGGGCATTCTTTTCAATCTGGAGCTTCTTAACTTGGCCCTTAAAAATCCTAAAAGAAAATGCATTACT